TGGCTCACGATAGCGGCTACTGCTTCAGAACTCGGACGCCACGGCTCTCATCGCTGGCCAGGGGGCGTGCATATAATGCCCAGACGCTCTGCCTGGCTGCAGCCCATCAACTGAGGCCTGGAGCCTGCAGTCTTAGGAGCAGCCCCAGGGGTGTGGAGCACTGTTCCCCCACTGTCAGAGCAGAGCTCCCTGGCAGCTGAGCACTTGGGCGTCCTCCTACGAGAGATTCAAATGCCGCCCAGCTGATTAGCAGAGTGCCCACAGCCGCCAGCAGGTGTTTCTCCCGGTGGTGCACCCCTGCACATGTCTTGGTGCACACAACAAAATTTATTCCACGCACGGGTGGTAAAAATTAGAGAGAACATTGACCCAGCAATTCTGGAGCAGGCTGACCCCGACCCCACTCTGGGTGTATGTTGCACAAGCGCAGGCTCCAAGCAGCTCTCACTCCGGGCGCACCGGACAGCTCCTGCTCGCAGCCAATGTGTGGAAACCATCCCCTGGCTCCCGGAGGTTGCCCACACAAGTGGACGGGGGGTTACGTGCTCTGGAAAGGAGCCCTGGTCTCCCTTAGCTGCACCTCCCGGCCAAGGGGAACGCCAGATTTCCCGGCTTCCCCGGGCTTTGGAGAGACTGTTCCCTGGGGCTCGGGTCCCGCCCGGCCGTGGGTGTCAGGTTTCCAGGAGGTAAGTGAGTGTCTGGGGGAAGCTGGGCCCTCGCTGTCCAGGGATAACGCCCAGGCCCCGTTTTTTACAGCCGTTGGGGGCAGAGGGTGGTGAGGAGATGGGGGGGTTGTTGCTTCCAGAGCAGAGGGGCCCGGCAGGGCAGGAGGGGGGATTCCAGGGCAGGTGTAGTCCAGAGGCAAAACCAAACAAGCCCAGAAGCTGATGTAACCCAAGTGCAAACCTTCCTCCTCCCGGTCTGACTCAGCGGCGTCACCGCAGGCCAGAATTCCCCAGCGCGCCAGGGGACAGAATGGGCCCTGTGCTGGAATCCCTGCTCAGCTGCTGCACCCTGGCCC